CCAGGTGGGAGACATAGAGATTTGCAAGATACATACGGATCTGAATGTTGCAGACCCGTTGACTAAGCCTCTTCCACGAGCAAAACATGATCAGCACCAAAGCTCCATGGGTGTAAGATTCATTACAGTGTAATCTAGATTATTGACTCTAGTGCAAGTGGGAGACTGAAGGAAATATGCCCTAGAGGCAATAATAAAGTTATTATTTATTTCCTTATAATCATGATAAATGTTTATTATTCATGCTAGAATTGTATTTACCTGAAACATAATACATGTGTGAATACATAGACAAACAGAGTGTCACTAGTATGCCTCTACTTGACTAGCTCGTTAATCAAAGATGGTTAAGTTTCCTAACCATGAACAATGAGTTGTTATTTGATTAACGAGGTCACATCATTAGTAGAATGATTTGATTGACATGACCCATTCCATTAGCTTAGCACCCGATCGTTTAGTATGTTGCTATTGCTTTCTTCATGACTTATACATGTTCCTATGACTATGAGATTATGCAACTCCCGTTTACCGGAGGAACACTTTGGGTACTACCAAACGTCACAACGTAACTGGGTGATTATAAAGGAGTACTACAGGTGTCTCCAATGGTCGATGTTGGGTTGGCGTATTTCGAGATTAGGATTTGTCACTCCGATTGTCGGAGAGGTATCTCTGGGCCCTCTCGGTAATACACATCACATAAGCCTTGCAAGCATTACAACTAATATGTTAGCTGTGAGATGATGTATTACGGAACGAGTAAAGAGACTTGCCGGTAACGAGATTGAACTAGGTATTGGATACCGACGATCGAATCTCGGGCAAGTAACATACCGATGACAAAGGGAACAACGTATGTTGTTATGCGGTCTGACCAATAAAGATCTTCGTAGAATATGTAGGAGCCAATATGGGCATCCAGGTCCCGCTATTGGTTATTGACCGGAGACGTGTCTCGGTCATGTCTACATTGTTCTCGAACCCGTAGGGTCCGCACGCTTAAGGTTACGATGACAGTTATATTATGAGTTTATGCATTTTGATGTACCGAAGGTTGTTCGGAGACCCGGATGTGATCACGGACATGACGAGGAGTCTCAAAATGGTCGAGACGTAAAGATTGATATATTGGAAGCCTATGTTTGGACATCGGAAGTGTTCCGGGTGAAATCGGGATTTTACCGGGTTACCGGGAGGTTACCGGAACCCCCCGGGAACCATATGGGCCTTCATGGGCCTTAGTGGAAAGGAGAAAGGGGCAGCCCAAGGGGGCTGCGCGCCTCCCCCCTTCCCCTAGTCCTATTAGAACTAGGAGAGGTGGCCGTCCACCCCTCTCCCTCTTTCCCCCTTGGGAATCCTAGTTGGAATAGGATTGGGGGGGGGGAGTCCTACTCCCGGTAGGAGTAGAACTCCTCCTGCGCCTCTCTCTCTTGGCCGGCGCCCCCTCCCCCCTTGGCTCCTTTATATACTGAGGTAGAGGCACCCCAAAGTTGACACAAGTTGATCCACGTGATCTATTCCTTAGCCGTGTGTGGTGCCCCCTGCCACCATATTCCTCGATAATACTGTAGCGGAGTTTAGGCGAAGCCCTGCTGCTGTAGTTCATCAAGATCGTCACCACGCCGTCGTGCTGACGGAACTCTTCCCCGACACTTTGCTGGATCGGAGTCCGGGGATCGTCATCGAGCTGAACGTGTGCTCGAACTCGGAGGTGCCGTAGTTTCGGTGCTTGATCGGTTGGATCGTGAAGACGTACGACTACTTCCTCTACGTCGTGTCACCGCTTCCGCAGTAGGTCTGCGTTGGGTACGTAGACAACACTCTCCCGTCTCGTTGCTATGCATCACATGATCTTGCGTGTGCGTAGGAAAATTTTTGAAATTACTACGAAACCCAACAGGAACTGCAGATTGGAATTGGGGCGGCCGGCGAGGAGGAGCAAACGGTGGTTTTGTGCGGAGGCAAGGGCTGCAGGGTTGTCAAACTCGAGGTGGACGACTCAACACCCGATTGGGGGTTTTGGCAGACGGACGTGACTACACCTGCATAAGGGAGGCGTATCGTCGAGCAATGAGGAGGGGCCACGTCCGAAGGGAGTGGGATCTTTTGCTTCCGTATCCAAACAAGGTGTGCCTTCGGGTCCCGTTTTCTGCGTGTAGCATGAGCCACCATTTGATTACCTGCCATAGAAGATCCTGAGTCATTGTTGGGTAAGATCCCATTAGATATGGACTCGTGGGGTATGGTCGGTGTCCAGCAAAGCTTGGGTAGTTTAGAACACAAAGTAGGCTTGCGGGCCCTGTGGCATATATGCATACAAAACGGACATCTAGTAAGCCCAGGACAGTTCACTAAACGGTGGCCCGAGGCCAGACATGCAGAGCAATTGAACTTGTTAGACCGGCCCAAAGTGCATGGCACATGACGTGGGGAATCTTGCACCGCACTATCAATCCTTGGTGTTAAACAAGGACAGTTTCCAGTAGTGTCACCGCAACGCTGGCAAAAAAAACCGTGCACAACGATTCCAAGTGACCAAAACGATCACACTACGGACAATGTTGAAGCCGATTATAAATATAATCCTTAGTTGGCACATCACGAATATCAACCATTATACGTACACTATCGTTGTCGTAGCCAACCTGCCATCCATCTAAAATATGAAAGAGCTTATCAGTTGGAATGGAATCCCATAATTCCTGCGTAAACCGATTGCCCTGAAAGGATGGTAACTGATCTGAGGAAGCCGGCCGGATAGGCAAGTTAATAGATCCGAGACAAAAACATTGATCAGAATCCTGAGAAGTCGGAAAAGATAACCTGCCAATAGTGAGATCCGATACGTCACCGTCGCCGGAATGTCTCGTCGTCAGCGTGATGGTGAGCCCAAACTTATCAAACACAGCCAAAGAGACCGGGTCAGAAATTGCCACAGATTTTGACGCTAGCCATTTAGACTTGATAGCCGGGCCAGGTGAAGAGGCTAGGTCATTTAACTCAGAATCGGCATTCCATCCACATGATTGAACATGAGCCCGAGCACCTCGATGGATATGGAAATGGCATATGAAGTCCGGCCAAATGCGGTCATGGAGGCCATAAATAAAATGCCCAACCCGATTAGATGCCACCGAAAACCAGAAACGACGATCCCCCAGACGCAGCACATTGAAACCATCACTGATGCCACCAATGCAAGACTATAGAGCCAATCCCACAGATTCCACTGAGAGAGGAAAAGAGGCCGAGGAGAAAGAAACTTCAAGGAAGAACTCCTTGGAGTGGGGGTTGGGGACGAAGTGAACCGTAGATCCAAAGCGAGCACGCACCTCGCCCTCGACCTTGAGGCCGGGGGAGAAATCCCAATGGAGGAGGCCGTCCATTGTTGTTGCCGGGGCGGGTGACTAGGGTAGGGAGTCGCCATCGCCATGGGAGTCGCCTTGGGAGGGTGGGAGGGTGGGAGGGTGGGAGTCGCCATCTTCAGATGAAAAGTGAAGGACTCAAATGAACTAGGCATGCATTTCTGTGATCGGATTAATTAATGTGTTATTTGTAGGAACTGTCAGCAGTTGTCTTAGGGCAATAGACACGACGGTTGCTCCCATCTATGTATGCCTATTAGGCTGCTGCCAATGCATGGGTGCTTAGATGAGGTGCTAAGCACATTAAATAGCTTAGCAACTATACTCCCCAATGCATAGGTGTTTAGCTTAGATTAGCCACATAGCAACATACACTAGTAACATACACATATCCCTAGACTAGTCATAGTGGGAGTAACTTCAGCAGTAACATCGAGTCCAACTCAGCAAATTTGCTTATGTGGCAATGAGTTAATGAGGAAAGAGATAGTTATAGTACTTAGCTACTTACTGTAACATCACATGTTCCAATGCAATATGAGTCTATAACCTAATAAATGAAGTTTTGCATGTTACCATACTTATGTTACTACCCACTATGAAGTTAGTAACATAGTATAGGGATATGTGTATGTTACTAGTGTATGTTACTCACTAAGTGTGGTGTCATGCAGAGCTTCATTTATTAGGATAGACTCATAATGCATTGGGACATGTGATGTTACCGTAACTAGCTAAGTTACTCAAACTACCTCTCCTCATTAACTCATTGCCATATAAGCAAATTTGCTTAGTTGGACTCGATGTTGTTACTCTCACTGTGGCTAGTCTTATGGTTGCTAAGCTTGCTTCGTTTAATGATTTAGCAACTAGAGCTCTTCATGTACTGGTGGACTTCCTTCCTTAAATATTTTGACTAGGTTCACGTGCTTAGCATTGTTTTTTACTGGGGTCACCACATCAGATTTTTTGCATACATAGAAGGCTTAGCACTTGTACAAGATGAAGCATTGGGAGGGGGCTTAAGAGCGTCCTTAGCACTGTAGAAACAGGAGTACTCTCATCAATAAAGATTAAAAAAATCAACAAAGAATAAAGATTAACTATTCTCATTACATCTCTGTTTACTATTTGCATCGATTGAGTCTCTCGTTTTCGACTTCAAACAGTGACGAGTGAAACTCGCTGGCGCCTGCTGCTTCTACGAGCGGGCGGCGCTGCGAGCCAATCCACCGTCACTCCTCAGGGATGGGAGCGCAGAGGAAGCACGAGGGGCTTGCCCGAACAGCCACGGGCAGGCGCATCGTACGCTGTGGAAGCGGGCCGATCAAGAGCTCACGCGGGGGCAGGCGACACCAAAGCATCGCCCATTCAACAATTCAGTCAAGCGGGCCGGAATAAAAAGTGAATGCAGATTCCCGTTTACTTTCATCTTCACTTCTTTCTTAATTTTAAAGAGAATGTCTTGTACTGTCCTTCCATGTTCATCCTTCCTTCCCAAAATAAAACAACTGTTTTCTTGACCAGGAAACTAGAATGTAAGTAGTCTTTTCCTTTTCATCGCCCTTAAAGCTGGAATAACAACTGGAGCAGGACCAGGAAGAGAGACTAAACGCAAAAAGGTAGCCCCTACTACGCAACAGATTTGTTGACCCGGATTGGCAACGAGCCAATGGTCACAACATCAACCAAGGGACTCTTATCTTCAGCCTTCCTTGTCTTGGAACTGATTGTAAGAGAACCAACTTTCGCAACAATTGAATCATCTTCGGGTGCCTCCAATCTGACAATTGCAGAGCTAATATTAACTCCACTCTCACGCAATTTTAACGATCCATGTCCAGCACCATCAGGATTCGGTTTAGGGTTTTCCACCTTCTTCCAGTATTGTTGCTTCCCATCCATGCTCATTTTCAAGGTTGAAGTTTGTGGCTGGCTAGTTGAAGATCTAGGCGCTTTGTCATTATCCTGCTTGCCATAACAACGGTTTTCTTGATGCCCATTTTCTTTCCCAGCCTCACTACCAACTTGTTTTTCAACAGCATCCTGTTGTTTGATGCCATTACAATCATGTGGCTTCTCTGACATGTTCTGTATCTCCAATGTTCTGTCTATCAGCACACCACCAAATTTTGGCAGCTGAAGATCTGAGGCATCGCTCTTACGCTGTGAGACAGGCACAAAATCTGGAGCATTGTGACTCAACTTGGACCATCTGCGCTGCTTAATTCTTGCTTCATCTTCCTCGTATCTCATAAAATCGTCAAATAGGCACTCCTTCACTTTGATATCCTTCAAGATCTTGAGCACAGATATTCCAGGAACGTATGGGACCTGCATTTGAAGCTTGGATCATGATCACGAGGTTGAAAGCAGACACTACATGTATGCTCAGAACTAGACCATGGAAAAAGAATGCAATGTGAAGACACTTCACCACACGGAAACTAGTATTCACTTGATATTCCATGGATCGAAACTGGCTTCCCACAAATGGAATGCTTACCTCTTGGGTATCCCTGCTGTGTGTGACAGGCTTATTTTCATTATTCTGAAGCAAGATATTCTGCAAAGTATAGTTAGGTACGTCTTTGATTATATGCCATCTTACAGGAAAGCAACCAGTCCATTTATCCTGGCACCAGAAGTCCATGTCCTTATGAAAATCGACAGGACCAACCATCTCGGCCAAGCCACAAAAGTGCCCGCTACCATTCACCTGATGAACCACAAGTCACATTTAATAATTGAATATTACAGACAAACCATATTTTAAGAAAATGGAAGTTGGACAAGTTGGAACTGCTTACAGAAAAGAACAGAAAAACTGGACACTTTGTAGAATTCCGCTTAGCTATTCGGTCAGCATCCCTATATGCGCAATCCAGCTTGCTATTTCCACTGGAGGAACTAGACCATACACCATACTTAATTGATTTGTGGATATCCGCCTCACCAATTGACTTGATAACGAAGAACTTTGCATAGGGATTGTCCACTTGGAGGTCATTACCGTTGTATTGGTCAGGTCTTATAAGGATTGTCCCATCTAAGTTCCCAACAATCAACCTTGACGTGTAGGATTTTGCAACTATGGCTGGTGACCTTTGGCCGCTATGTTTCTCCGCATTACTAGAGCCATGTGCCTTTAGTTGACCACTCGACTTTGAAGTAGGCTGAAATTTCTCAGCTGAAGCCCACTTCTGAGGATCAGATCCGACACATGCAAAACAATCATTTCCAGATAATTTTGCCTTTGGTGAATGCTTGGCAGCAGCCATTGGCCTGTCAAGCACATTTGTCGGTGCCTGATCGTAAGAATAATATTTCTCAGCTCAAGATAGGAACAAACTTACAGCATGAGAAAAGAAATAATCGACTTCTCTATCAACAGTAAGAAGCAGAAAGTGTTTCGATGACTACAGAACTTTTACATGTAGTGGAGAAAATATAGAAGCTATTATGCTGAAAGATGTTGTACAGAATATAAAACGAACTACTCTATTGTAGTTGACCCAACAGTACTCTATGGTAACATCAATAACTAGCAATCTTCCATTAACAATTATCTCTGTCCTAGAGAAGAGGATGAGAGCTGGCAAGGTGGCTAGTAACACAACAAATACACATGTTGGAGAAGTATAATCAGCCTCACATTCAATGTTACTTCTACAATATGCATGCCTTGCAACATTGAAAAGCTACCATCCCAAAAGAACACCAAAAAGAAGGAACCATGACGACTGGGAGTGCCATATAGTAGTGGAATTTATTTCTAAAGATATATTCAGACGTGGTGGAAACAATTGCCCATTCACATCAGAGCATCATCAACTACTGGTACCCCAAAAGCTTCAACGGCATTACAGGCTTACTGTTCTGAGTTTTTCTTAGGCATGCTATTTTCATATTTAAGGGTTCATACACAAGAAATTAAGAGGAAATGATGGATCCTATAGTAGCTTCAACTCAACAAACAGTTCAGAGGATGTTATTTACTCCCTCCATTCTGATGAATAAGGTGTATTTCATTTCGTTAAGACAAGACTTTGAGCAAGAATCACTCTTCTTATATTTGATTTATGTGACACAAAATCACCATCATAACAAACTACTTCTAAATACGAACCTAGTGACACAAATTTCATGTCATATAATCTTGTATTTATGTAGCAATTATTGGTCAAATGCATGTCTTAACAAAACAAAATACGCCTTACATCTAGGAATGGAGGTAGTAAATGCTAAACAGCAGGCCTCACAAAAGAGAACAATGGGAGCAAGTCCCAGAAGAACATGTGCGCCTACCTGTGGGGTATGAAGAGGTTTAATAGACACCATGGACCCATTTCCCAGCTCTTGCTTCATTGGAAGTGAGTTATGCAACTGAACAATTGGTATCATTGAGTGATTCTGAAACTGCTTTGAAGAGACAATTGTTGATTGTACAGGCGGATTCACAACAACATCATTTTTCGGGGCAACAAGAGCCATCGAAGGTAACACATGATTTGTGGATGTTACAGCGTAAGCTGGCATGCTTGGAATGAATGCAACACTAGATGGGTGGAGAGATGTGGCAGTGATTCCTAGGACACTATCTACTGCATAAGGAAGAACAGATGGAATGTAATATGATGAGGGAACTACTTGGCATGTAGGGTCAGTATCAGGGACATATTCTTGTGGCAGATAAGATCCATCAATTATGTAACCAGGATCCATAGGGTAAGGGCTGTAGGAAGGATGAACTGATCCATTGTCAGGGGTAGCATAGTAAACAACCTGTGTGCCGTCAGTCTGGAAAGCCTGTGAGAGCAACATGTTAGAAATGTTCAAAGTAAAAAGAACGGGTACTGAAGAAATTTTGCTATTACACTAACCGGAAAATAAACATCTTGAGCATCATATCCTAGAGAGTTCCGATGGTTATACCAATCCATAGGTGATCCAACTTCTGTATTTAAAAGGACTGTGTATTATAATCTGATGGCACAGGGAAGTAAAAATACCATCAACTGCATGATGCAAATTAATATTTTACCTGCATAACCATATGTGTAGGAATTTACAGCAGTTGGAACATATACATTTTGTCCATACAATAATTCAGGGGTCATTTCCATCTCCGTACAATTGACAGCTTTGAAGGAAACGCCCCGCGTTATACTGTAGTGACTTGGCTGGAATGAGCAACAGAAAGCAAGTTACACAAAATTTAACAACATGCATCACACAGATAAAAAGATAACTGAAGGTGGCAACAAAGAGCATAGCAAGATGAACTCCAAAAAGTTGAGTACAAAATCTTTCTGGATAGCTGGCATAAAAATACGTAAACAAGTATGTATTGCAAGAAGATATAGTACAATAATTTACAAACATGGGGAGGAATATCAAAGGCAATTGTTATGATAAAAATTATGAGAAATGAAACATAGTGACTTAGATATTACTAGGAGTAACATGTTTATGTGCAGAAACTCTCAGCACAATTTATTGAGCATAGCTAACAGGTTAGATGATATGTTCGCTAAGTCAGAGCTTATCCTAAGTTGGTTAGGCTGGAGGATCAAATCTAATTAAGTCCTTCACACATAACAAATTCAAAAAAATCACAACGTGTAGTTACCCATCTTCCTGCCTTAGTTGAATAAGAATATTAGACTAGTGTGTCCCAGATTACATCAATCCCCATTCTCACACCTACAATCATCAAAATACTACGCGAACATGCCTAATTTTGATCAGCTCAGGAACACTATCATCATTCTGTATAATTTGATGCGAGCATAACGATGTAGACTTTGTTGCATAACCAAAATATCAAATCGAAGTTTGTGTCGGCCTAATTTTAACAGGCAACGAAAACAGCAGAGACCGATTTTAACGCAAGTTAATCGCCAAAATTACCAATTACACCCCTATAGTAAATCGAAGCAACAAAGGCTCAAACAGATGCAATACCATGATCAAACATGTTACCTTCGATAACAAAAATAACAAACGCGAAACTTCACAACAGATCTCCAACCCACACGCCACGACCGACAAGGAAAACCTAGATCCAAAACCGATCCGCCCACAAAACCAAAACCAGATATCGGCACATGACGCCGAACCTAATTCACCGGCCCGGCCCATGGCAAATAGATCCACACCTCCGCC